TCGAGTCCCAGATACTGCGATTTATTAATAAATTTGCAGATTATTAGAGGCAAGTGTGCAGGAGATCTCCAGTGATGTACAATTATAGCCGTTCGTCAGGATTCTACGCAGAGAGGGAAGTGTCCATCAAGAGCATAAAGAAGGAGGTGAAGGAGGTGAGTATGAAGAAGAAGGTGAAAAAGATGTCGTCTGTCGTGGATCTAATAAGGGTCGGAAGGAATTGTCCGTTGTAGAATCGTCTATGTAACAGTTCTCATAATTTGCAATAAATAATAAATCCAGATGTTAAAAAAAAAAAAAAGTAAATAAAGTCATAGTCGCTTGGATTTGAAGATAACAAAGTTAAAATTGGATCATTATGGACTTTAAAACTAGAAACTGAAATATATATGTTGATACATGTAAAATTCTTATATGTTTTCTAACGTATGTCACAATTTATTGACTATTCTATCCATATAAAACAAAAATTTGTTGTTTATAAGAATATTTTTGACAACGCCTACCAAAAAAAAGAATATTTTTGACAAGAGGTAAAATTTTATCTCTTTCAAAAGTTTGTGGTGCGAAAAAATATTTTTAACGCATATTGAAATCTAATCGATTAGCTAACAAATGTTTTAATTGTTAATAAGTTTTCTGCTTTATGTCAGATCAAACTTTAAATAATATGGTTTATTCTAAATCTCACTTGCAATTTTATTTGAAGATAGTATTTTCTGAGGGCCAGCCAATCCACACTTTCTAAAAGCTAGAACGATGATCTTCGACTTTGGGATTTTGGAAGCTACTTTGTAAGAGTTATAAAAAGAGTGTAACATGTGGAAGAAGTACGGTGCAAATAAAGCTTTCTTGTGGAAGTCCCCTTGGCCCATTGGTTAAACAAAGGTTAATTAATGATTCTACACCCAGAGGTCTGGGGTTCGAGTCCCAGATACTGCGATTTATTAATAAAATTTGCAGATTATTGGAGGCAAGTGTGTTGGAGATCTCCAGCGATGTACAATTATAGCCGTTCGCCAGGATTCTACGCAGAGAGGGAAGTGTCCATCAAGAGCATAAAGAAGGAGGTGAAGGAGGTGAGTACGAAGAAGAAGGTGTCGTCTATCGTGGATCTAATAAGGGTCGGAAGGAATTGTCCGTTGTAGAATCGTCTATGTAACAGTTCTCATAATTTGCAATAAATAATAAATCCAGACGTTAAAAAAAAAAATAAAGCTTTCCTTTTTGGCTTCTATATGGAGAATTTGGAAATCCCGCAATAACTTGATTTTCAATCAACATCAATGAAATATTCAGATATGATCATGAACGTTGAAGATGATGCTTTATAATGGGTTGTCATGACTGACAACGGAGCACATCTGCTTAACCTCACTACATGCTGAGGTCGAAGCATTAATTTGGGCGATGAGATGTATGATCGGCCAAGACAAACGAAAAATAGCTTTCTTTACAGACTACTCCGAACTGGTGAAGATGGTGTCTTCCCCGCAAGAGTGGCTAGAATTTGCAACATATTTAGTGGCGATTCAAAGTGACAAGGAAGAGTTTGATTTATTTTCTTTACATTTAGTTTTTCAAAATGTGAATGTGAAGACGGATAAACGGACACAAACTGTTTGTACCTAACCGCATCTTACTACTTATTTAAACAATATTCCTCAAATATAGTTATCGGAAAAAAATGAAATATGGGAATTTTAAATGGGCTATATAAGCCGTTCCGTAACCCATTAGGATTATAAGCCCATCTACAGAATGCCGCATTTGCGTTGACTATTAAGTCTGATTGTATATATTAATTTACTGTCATTAAAATTTGGTAAACTTGAAGTTTAGATTTGGTTATTGTTAGAAATACATAAGATTCTCAAAGTGACCGGGAAAGCACAAAATCCTTGGACGTCTTAACTCATAATCCACCATTCCATCAATCTCAACCTCCATTCTTCTGATGATACTCTCTCTGAACATATCGAAATAGTAAACAAAAAAGTGCTTAGATGACTTTAAGCATCTAGAAACCATTACAACCTTGTTGGTAGGACTCTCTCCACTGCACAAATATATCTCCTTGTCACAAGGCACAACACAAGTCATGATGCTTGACCATTCTTGTTTCTCAGCATCTTGTAGAATCCATAGACGCATATTAGATTCACAATAGGAGTCATAGCTTACACATGCTAATTTTCCTTCATAATTTGTAAGTGTTGAATAACATGAGATTGCGTTATAGTCTTTGGGTCCTTGAATAAACGTCATCTTCTCGTATCTAAGATCAAATCTAGCTATCTTTGTATGTCCAACTCCATAGTATATAGCACCATCGATGCAAATCCCGCCTTCTAAATAGGCGTAAGGATCTCCCGTGATCTCGATCTTTCTCCACCCCGTAAACTGTGATGTTAGTGATAAAACTAGATGCTCCTGTTGTTTGACATATTTTCTATGGACGTCACACCTAACTAACATCATCACACACAACACTTTGTATCGATTATCGACCGGATCATACCCGAGCGTGCGTAGATCTCTCTTCCGTTGGCTTTAACATGGGGCAATGTCAACATAAATCCAGTGGTGGGATTAAAAACCGCGATCCTAGAACCACGCGTGCAGCATACAAATCCGTTTACAGGGGGAGATGTGATGTTGAAGCCAGGATCCGAGATCGTCATGATGTCTTGTCTCGCGATAACTATGGAGGATTTTTCGTTGTTTTGGTGTTCTTTTTTTTTTTGAATTTAATGTTAAATTATATTCAAAAGAAAAAATATATCGTTTTTACAACTAGTGCAGCGGTTTCGAAATTATACTGAAAGAGAAAGCTGAGATTTTAGAGACTAAATTGTTTTACACTCTTGAAGCAAACCAGATTTGAAGTCCTTCTTCATACCGTCGGTCTCCCATGATTCTAATCGATGAGATATTGTTTCGAATTTGTTTATCAATCCAACCAATAAGTCATGTAGCTGAGTTCGGTTTCTCTCCATGCTTTCTTCCATTTCGTTCTCTCCAAATTGTGTAAACCGAGGCTTGTAGAGCATATCTCAAGAGAAAGCTTTCCACTCGATTACGTTGCATTTCTGAGACAATGGTTATCAGAGTTTGCCAATCCGTTGTGTAACGCGCCTTGAGAAGGTTCTTTGCAGTGGCTGTCCAAATTTCCGAGGCATAGACACATGTAAAGAATAGGTGGTCACAGGTTTCCATGCAGTGATTGCAGAAGACACATGCCACTGACGACCTCACATTCCATCTTGCCATCCTATCACCTGTAGAGAGGCGGTTCAAGACTGCTAACCAAAGACAAAAAGAGAACTTTGGCGTCGCGTGAGTAAAGCAAATTCCCCTATGCCATGCTACCTTATTTGTAGTTGTTCTAATGTGGTTCCAAGTATCTCTTGTGGAGATTTGTGGTATGTACATGTCATTCCGACCTCGCCATAACACAATGTCCACTGCCTCTGTTCGGTTTTGCTTTGACACCGCTAATACATTTTCGATCTGGTTTAAAGCTTCTGTTCTATGCCGTCGACTGCGACGTGAGTGCCAAGCTTCAGCCACAGACATACCTCGTTGAATACCCAGGTCTATGACTCCTCTCTCACCTACAACATCCACCAATCTTCCTAGAGTAGACCAATTATCATACCAAAAAGAAGTGCTGTTACCATTTTTCACTTCAACTTTGCATAAATTTTTTGCCACTCCTCGATACTTGAGAAGCTTCTTCCAAATCCATGAACCCAGAACTGTATTGCTTTTGATTGACCAGAATGATTTTTGCTTAAGAAGGTACGTTTCTAACCACTTGACCCACAATGAATCTCCATGTGAAGCTATTCGCCAAATCAATTTCAGACAACACAAATCATTTGCTTCTTTCAACGATCTTAATCCAAGTCCTCCCTCCTGTTTTGGTTTGCAAATAGCTTCCCACGATACTTTAGCTTTATGGGAGCTCATTTCTGATCCTGACCATAGAAAAGCCGAGCATAGTTGATCAATTTCCCGAATGCAGTCCCGAGGTAGCCTAAACGCAGCCATCCAGAAATTAGTAATGCTTCTAAGGACCGAACTTATCAGATTTAGCCGGCCAGCATAAGATAGAAATCTTGATGTCCACGACCCAATTCTTTGTCGGATTTGCTCAAGTAATGGGAGATAATCTGCAGATGTAAGACGTTTAGTGACCAATGGGAGCCCCAAATACCGAACCGGTAAGTTTCCTATCTCAAAGGAGAAACGTTGGCTTATCTCTTGATGAATGAGGTCTTGTATTCCTGCTAAAAACAGAGTAGACTTTTCCATACTTATCTTCAGTCCAGACCGTTTTGCAAACTCATCCAGCACCCCTATTATCCCGTCAATTGATCTTACTTTGCCATCGGAAAGAATCATAAGATCATCGGCGAAACTCAAATGAGTTAAACCTAGCTTTTTACATCTCGGATGATACCCAAACTGTTTTGCACCAGCCGCCTTATCCAACATTTTTGAGAGAACATCCATGCTTATGACAAAAAGGTACGGGGATAGAGAGCAGCCCTGTCATAACCCTCTTGCGCTTCGGAAATAGCCCGCTAATTCACCATTAATCTGAACCGAGAAGGAGGCTGTAGTGATGTAGAGAGTAATCCAATGTATAAAAACCGTGGGGAAATTCATTGCGAGGAGGGCATTCGTTAGAAATGACCATTGCACCGAGTCGAATGCTTTAGAAATGTCAATCTTCAAAGCGCAGCGGCTTGAGATTGAGTCCTTGTGATAGTCCTTTACTAACTCCGTCGCTAACAACACATTCTCTATCAAAAATCTGTCCTTAACAAAAGCCGACTGGTTTCCCGCAATGAACTTAGGAAGTACCAATTTTAGCCTATTAGCAATGATCTTAGATATCACTTTGTAGATCACGTTGCAGCATGATATAGGTCGATAGTCTTTCATCTCTTTCGCCTCCTTTTTCTTGGGAATGAGAGCCAGGATCGTGGTATTGATTCCTTTAGGTAAAAAACCTTTAGCGAAAAATGATTGTACAGCCAACGTAAACTCTGTTCCAATTATTTCCCATGCTCTTTGAAGAATTCGGAAGTATAGCCGTCAGGACCCGGAGATTTATCGTTTGGCATAGAAAAGAGTACCTTCTTAATCTCTGCCGCTGAAACAACACGGGTTAACATCTCATTTTCCATCTCTGAGCAGCGAAAAGGTAGTAAATCTTGGAGCTCATCCACTGTGATCCCCTCATACTCATTTGGAACAAGCTGCAAAAACTCTCTAAAGAATCTCTCTGCCTCCGCTTTGATCTCTTCTCCTTTTGCCGTCACACTACCATCTTGACGTTGAATTTCACGGATTGAGTTTTGTGCCTCTCTTGTGACCACGGCTCTATGGAAAGTTTTATTGTTCTTGTCTCCTGCATCCAGCCAATGCAACTTCGATTTTTGTTTGAGATATTTCTCTTCTAGAGTTGCTACACGTTCCCACCTGTTATAAGCCTCGATCTCTTCTTTCATGGAATTTGGTGAAGGATGATTCAGATTTAGTTCTTGCTTCTTACAGAGGGTGTCGTAGGCTTCTTTAGTCTTCTTAACCAGATTACCAAGTCGCTCTTTCGCCAGGTTGCGAAGAAGAGGCTTTAAGCTCTTTAGCTTTTTTGAGAAACGAAACAGAGAGGATGTAGACAAGAAAATGGGCTCTGTTTTTTTCCAAAAAGTATCCACTATAGGTTTGAATTCCTCCATTTCTGTGATTACATTCACAAATTTGAAAGGTTTCCTTCCCCGAACTACATTCCCGTTACCAACGTTTAGATTAATTCGGCCTCGTAGATGATCTGAGCATCCACCCGCTTCGAAGACACTATATGACTGCGGAAATGTCTGAAACCATACATCATTCACCATGATTCTGTCCAGTTTCTTAGCAATAAGATCGTTCTCTCTCTTATTTGACCATGTATAAAGAGGACCATGATGAGCCAAATCTGTTATGGAGCAGTAGTTAACCATTGACTTGAAATCTCGCATTCCCACTGAAACCACAGGATTATCATCCATTCTTGAGTGCTCTTCCAATTCCAAAATCTCATTAAAGTCTCCAAAAATGATCCAAGGTTTATTCCGAATAATCGGAGAATCATAATGATCCCTTAACTCACTCCATAGAACCTTGCGTTCCTCACTGAAATTGGAAGCGTATACAAAAGAACAAAAGAACTCATCTTCACGGTTATCAAGCTTTACTGAACATGTAATCAATTGACCACTCTTATAAAAAGGAGTTAGCCGCACATTTCTCCTCCACACTACCCAAATACGCCCACGTCTACTGTATTCATAGTTTGTTATCATCGACCAGTCATTGAACAATTTGCGACTCAAAACCGGAGCTTTACCTTCCTTTACTCGCGTCTCAAGTAAACAACCAAACTGAAAATTTTGTCCCTCCACCCAACTTTTTATTACGGAATGCTTTTCCACCTTGTTTAACCCACGAACATTCCATAAGAAACCTGACATTAATGGTGTTTGGAAAGGTGCTTCTTACTCTGATCTTTAGGAAGGTTCCTAGTCGATTGAGTAGAAGGGTTTGGTATCACTTTATGAGCGGTTTTTGACCCGCGAGGTAGAGATGGACGTAGTTGCGGCTCTACCTTTGAGGTCTTTGAACCATTGCCATGATTTTCCTTCACCTCTACGGTTTGAGTATCTGTTTTTGAGACATTTATCACAGCAGCTTCCCCAACTGTTGTGATTTGACTCTCCTCTTCCAAGCCTACTTCTCCGCTTAAAACTGAGTATGAATTTTTTAAAATTGAAACCTCTCCAAACTTGAGATCCCCTGCTTTTTTAGTTGGACTTCGACCAGGCTTCACATGAGTTATCCAGCCTTGATCTTTCTCATGTTCTGGTGGATTACTCTCCTCTCTAACGTCATTACTATCCCTAACTACGCCCACAGTAGTCACCACCTCTGTATTACCATTCCCTGCAGTTGGTATAGGTGCAGTTTGATCATCCTTCTCTGTTGCTGAAACGTGAGCCTCTTCCGGGCCTAAATTCACTGCGACTTCATCTTTTTTATCGGACAGACATGAATCTCTTAGGTGTCCCCATTTTTTGCAGCAGCTGCATCTCGGAGGCAACCAAGGATACGCTTACTGTACCACCACATCTAGTTCTCCCTCTTCCTCACCTGTGAAGATGTATTCTTTTGGTAAGTCCTTTGTCAAATCTGCTTCCACCAAAATCTGTGCTTCATCAAAACTAACGCAAGCTTCTGTTTTAGGGTGTAAACGTTTAGGTTCGCCCACTGCACTCGCTAAAAATTCTAACCTCTTATCCGTGAACATAGTTGGTGGAACATTTTTTAAAGTAATCCAAAGAGGGATAGATTTCAGAGCCGGCTGCAATTCCTCTGCATATGGAGTCCATTTAGAAACGATCATGGGAATATCCATAATGTTCCACATTCCTCTGTTCAATACCCTATCCCTCATGGTTTCGGTACGAATACGAAACTTCATTGTGGTTGCATTAACCTCATACACATCTATCAAAGCTGATCTATCCCCCAACCTCCAGATTTTGTTAACGATCATGTGAATTTTTCCCACATGAGGAGCTTTTGTGTTGAGAAATTTACCAATCAGAAAGTCTTCCCATAAAGGTTTTGCACCGACAAAACCCTCTTTTGGAACCACTACTTTTTCTTTCCCATCCACTTCAGACACCACAAACTTCTGCTTAGTAAAAACATGTTTCTGAGCAACTTGAACCCAAGATTTCTGCTTAATCGCTGCCCCTGAATTCGATTGTGGATCTACCCGACGTAGACCCTCAGACTGCTTTGACAAACTCTCCGACTGAACAACAACTTCCCCTGTTCCTGTGTTTTGATCTGCTCCTGACTGCCCAACACCCGCGCTCTCCTGCTGAGAAGCCACCTCCAGAGTTGCTTCCGGCTCCATAACTCCTTCCGACAGAGGCGGAGAAGCCGCCGGCGGCTCCATACGTGCTGAAAACGCTAGAAACCCTAAATCGCCTGTTTTGTCTCTCGCCACGTCAGCAGACCTTTTTTTTTTCTTTTTTCGTTGTTTTGGTGTTCAGATGCTGAGAAGAAGAAATTCTTCCGGGAATCCAAGTCCTTGAATGTGAAAAGGAGACGAGGCCGAGTCTTTGACTGTCTTAGGAACGAGTATTTCAAATCTTTACTGCTAATGATAGACAACCAGAGCTTCGACACGGATTTGAATCGGATGAGGGATTTCGCAGGAAGTCTCGAGAGTATCTCGAAGATAATGGTTGTTGTCGAGTTTTTGGTGTGATCTAGGTTACGTGAGGGAGACGTTTGTGAACTTTCCATGGCTGCTTGTTTGTGATGAAACCTATAACAATAAAGCACACCGATCCTTTATAAAAGATGAACGTATCTCATGAGAGCTCTGAAAATATTTAGTTTTACAATCTATTAATGGTTAAATAAAATGAAAATTTTCTATTTTCCAATATTTCTAAATTAAAATATTACAAATGACAATATATATATAAAAAGAAATATGACAAATTTACATTTTATTGGTCTTTCCATAATAGTTGAAAATTTAATTTCTAATTAATATTTATGAACTAAATATAAAATAAAGTAAATTTTAAATAGATAAAAATAAATAGAGTATCTCATGTAACAAAAATGATTATAGTTCTTTTCAAATACCAAAAAAAAATAAAAATAATAAAGCTAACCCAAATCTGTATTTTATGTGGCCGTCTCCTTCCAATCGAACTTCGTCCGCTCCCAAGCCATCGTTTGTTCTTACTCCCGGCGAGCTCTTAACAAAGTGTTGTAGCTCAATCGATGTAAGCCGCATCTTTGCATCTACTTTCACATCCGGATGTGGTGTTGCAGGACCAATTGGTTTAATTGTAATTTCTATTGGTTTATTCCAAAGCTTGCAAAATGTTGTCACTTTTAAATTAAATTTTGCATTTTAACACTATATAATTTCTCACAAGATGCGAAGATCTGGACAAATTATGGGATAGATTTGTATTTTTATGAAAATACCTATAATGAAAACAATATGAAATAAAATTAAAGATGTATATATATCTCATAGATAGATCACAAAACATGCATAAATAAATACCCACCCAAAATTATCTTACCTTGACATATTAAAGCCTCATATACGCTTTCCTAGATTATATATATATCATCCTCGAAAACCATATAATAAACGCCAAAAACGTATTATACATCTATAAGAAGTTGATGATCATAAGCCAAGACGCAGCTCCAAATCGATTTCATCTCCTTCAACGACGACGTTTTCTCTCCTTGTAGCCATCGAGCCGATTCGTAAGTGTTGGATGTAGTTCGAGGTCGTCGTCCTCAACACGACGGAGTCTACTTGCTCGTAGCCTCCACGATCAGACGCCACGTGGAAACATCTATGAGTTTGTGAGAGTGCCACGTCAGCATCGTTTTGCACCTTGGCCTTGTTGAGACGGTCACGTCGATGGATGTTCATGTGACCACCTAAAGCTTGTGCGTTCGTAAAACCTCTTTTGCAGAAAGTGCACTCGTACATTCGTCTAGTCACGGTGGAGACCGACGACGACGCGGTACGACGGTGCCTGACGGCTCCGGTTTCTGATGACGTGGACGAAGATGATCTCTCAATCTCCATTTATTTATATATGTTGCCTTGATCGATCGAGAGATATTGTTAAGAAATGTTGAAACCCTAAAAATAGGACTTTGTGGGAAGATGAAAGATGAAAGAGTTGTCAAATGAGTAGGCACATATAAGGATAGTTTTTATGATAAGAGTCATAGAGAAATAAGACTGATTATACTTTTGTTGTTGTGTGTTTATATGTTTGGAAGATATGATTTGGCTTTTTCTTTCATGGTATATTTATGTATCAATTTTTTTACATAATTATCACCGTATTTGAAGGATTTGTTTTTTGTTCTCATGTATTATTTATAGCTAGATTATAAATATGGCTTATGATTAATTATTAACTTGCTAATATTAGAAAGTTTATGTAGCTAATTGTAAGAAGCAAAGCAAAATCATACCACTAGAAATTAGTATTTTTTTTGTTGCTGACGAGTTTTGTTTGTATCATCAATTTTAGAAGGTATTGCTAGCTCCTCAAAATTTACGTTTTGGCCATGTTATAATTTAATTCTGGTATCCCCGTTGATAATTCTCTAGTAAATCAGTGATAAACTTTTGTGAGTAGTGATTTCAAAATTATCTTAAACTTTTACAGTTTTGTTTCCAATAATAATACACATGTAGAATAAAATTATAAAATTTTGATTTTTAAATCAGTAAAACTACTATAGTAGTTTTGTTTACAATACACAAAGTAGCGAACATAAAAAAAATATGGAAAGAGACATAACAAAAGATTTGATTATAAATCACATAAAAACAACCCGCACATCAATCCAGTTAACTGAAATCCAAATCAACTTCAACTAAACTCTTCAATTAGTCCACAAAATTACAAGAAATGATGACAATTAAAAGGCAAGGGAGTGGTTTAAATCAATCGTGTTCGTTTCAAAATTTCTAAACATCCCTTTTGTGTTTGTCTTGTAATAATCTAACCTTTTATCGCAAAATATTTTTAAAAGTTAGGTCTCCACTGACTGCATACTTTTCTCTACTAGAAAATATCACAACGATCACAATTTTTACCAAAACAAAAAAAAAATTGATATAAAACGCATTATCATAATTTTCAAAAAATTATCAAAGAGATAAAGATAACATAAAAATGTAGAATACTTAACTAAACTTTAGTTTATGGGCCAAATTTAAATTTTAGCTTAGTAGATCGTAAATAGTACTTCTTGAATATTATACAGCTCGACAATATTTGATAGCAACTCGAGTACATTGATTCGTTTAATTACTGCCACATCATTGATTGATTACGTTACTTGTACACCTAATCCTGTTTGTTTGGGTTTGGTCTGCTTTTCTTTTTTAGTTATTAAGTATATAATCTACTTCTACAAGTTGAAACCAAAAGCACCAGTGGTCTAGTGGCATGATAGTACCCTGCCACGGTACAGACCCGGGTTCAATTCCCGGCTGGTGCATATTTTTCTCATTTTAATGTTTTTGTTTTTTGTTTTTTATACATTACGATTCCCGGCTGGATGCATGTAATCGAGAGTTCGAGACTATGAACGGTCGTCTCTATATATAATTTGGTCGCAACTTGCAAATATATATTTTTATAAACTAGTACTTTTTTTTACTTATGACTAGATTCATCGGATAGAAGAAAATCGACAAAACCTAACATATTTGTTAACTAGCTTATGTAACTATCATACTCATAAAATATTTGCACACAACTCCGTATTTTAATTTAAATACTTTTTTTTTTTTGGTAAACATCGTATTTGACATACTTGTTACGGAACAAACAATACAGAGAATGCTTAAACAAAGTCATTAGAATCTTTTTTGGGGAAGTGCCCGGTTCGAACCTTGGGGAGGGGCCTATTTAGGTTGCCGCGCCATATTTCTTTGACCCACTGACCTAAACCAATGAAGCTGCTTCTTCCAAACTGGTCCGGAATTGGTTTTTATCTGTTTTACTGATTGTAGTCTGATCTTTCAGAAACACAAGGTGCACGTTCAATTGTTCACACCACACAATATGTTGTTCGTCCAATGCCAAAAGACAGTTCGATACTTCAGTCACAGACGGAGTGTTCAAAATTACTTATAAGTTATAACTCATTAGTAGAGAAAGATAAATAAATTGTACCAATATTTACATGAAAACAACAAAAAGAAGACTCTTAAGTTCAAAAGACTAATAAGACTTTCTCCAAGTCTTTTATCGGAACAACATTTTGAGCTCCTCAAGTCTTGCCGACCGGACTTCTTCATCGGTCAAAGCTCCGGCAATCATCCTCTGCTTCCTTGCCTGAACTTGCTGCATCCGTTCCTCCACTGTATCCTGCACACAATCATCCAAAAGAAACGCAATGTTACTTACGAGTTTCTTACAATGCTAGAAACTCAGAGAAAAATGCAGTTTCTATAGTGTCACCTTGACAATGAATCTTCTGACAAATACTGTTCGTTTCTGCCCTATTCGATGAATTCTCATGATCGCTTGCTCTTCTACCGCCGGATTCCACCATGGATCCTAAGTGTTTCATGAAAGAAAACCAAAACATCAATTCATCATTCAATTATCAAGAAGACTTCAAAACAAAGCTTGAAGAGAGATGGTACCATTAAGAAGACACTTGAAGCTGCAGTTAGATTCAGACCAACTCCTCCAGCTTTCAGAGACATAAGCAGAATCTGTAATACATCACATAAGCAGAAGCATAAAGATCTTAAGCTCTCTCTAGTCGATCCAGAAAGAGTTTGTTAGACAACTATCCTATCACTTACCGTTTTCTGTTTGGTTTCATTGAACTCTTTCAAGACCTTTTCTCTTCCTTTTTGAGCCAGCTTCCCATCGAATCTAAGAAACTCGAATCCTTTTCTTCGCAATGGAATCTCCAAAAGATCCAAAAATGAAGTCCACTGGCTAAAGACAATGCTCTTCTCACCTGAACCAGATTTTTGGATCTTCTCTAAGCACTTGAGCAGCTCTGAAACTTTTGAAGACTCCTTCCAGTTCTTTACCACATCAACACGGAATATACTATCTGTCGGGCATGAGATCAGCTCGGTTCTCTTCAGGATTGTCCTGCAGATTGGGCATAGACCACAAGACGGGGAGCGCCAGCTAGTAAGGAGACATTCCCGGCACATTCTGTGAGCACAAGGTGTGAGAATGGGATCATCTGCAGACTCCAGACATATTGGACATTCTTTGCTATTTCCATCACGTAAATCCTGGATAACTTCCTCGATATATGCCCGAGAAGGCGCATTTTGGGAAACAGAGTCAGGGTTGTTATCAAGAAACCTCCTTGCAAGGCTATCTAAGTCAGCGTACTGTTGTGAATCTGCTCGGCTGCAATTTAACTGAATGTATTAGAATCCATTGCCAAGGAAACAAATGAGTCTATTACTTGTATTATGCTTTATACCTCATAACTAGAAAAGGGTGGTTACAACATTGGCGTAGACGGAGGAGGAGCTCGAGGATGTTTGCATAGTTGTGGAGAACTTTTCCTTGTGCCACAAACTGGTCAAATTGAACCTGTTCCCGAACAAAGGAGAATGTTATGCATTTACCAAAACATCGTAAATCCTTAAAATATACTATGATTAAGCTTATAACAGATTGTATTGTGCTTAAAACAGAACTATAACACTTACTTTGGATCTCTTGAAAAGGGCAGTATAGAAGTCACGTTCTGCTTCGGATTGTTCACATTCAATGACTTGGATATCAGTTGGAGGAAGTTCAAGAATTAGACTGAAAGTTTGCAGAAAATATAGTCGAAGTTAAGCATAAGACAAGCAAACGAAAAGAGAAAGAAGGGAATAAAACAGCAAAAAACATCTAACCTTCCTTCTTTGTCCCTTGTTTCCTTTGTTCTTCTCAGCATCAATGGCCTCAAAATCGCCTTGATCAGCTTCAGTCCTCGTGAATCACCATTTTCATAAGGCTTCTGTATCAACTTACTCCACCTATTTACACACACACACACAGAAGGGTAAAGTCAAATCAAAAAGAATTATATACAAAGAATATCACGTTCAGATGAAATCTCATCATACCAAGCCCAATTGCACCATGGTTCGACATGCAGGAAGCATAGAAGACTGTAAAGATCTTCAAGCTTGTTCTGCATTAAAGAGGCATAGGGTTAGTAAGTATCAAAACAGTATGAGATCATATTATCTATTCATGAGTTACTTTTAGTATCTTACTTGTAAGGGAGTCCCAGTTAGACACCATCTGCAATGTGAGGACAACTCAAATGTAGCTTTAGCAGCTTGAGTTTTCCACGATTTGATCGTGTGAGCTTCATCAAGAACAATCCTATACCAATCAATCCTGTGGAAAATACTGTTTGCCATATCCTGCATGTCATGAATCTCAGAATTTTAAGATCAATTAACAGAGAAAAAACATTGGTGCAGAAAATTGACAAATAATACTATTCTAACCTGCTTGTAAGCTGAGGTTAAGACACCATAAGTTGTCAAAACCACATCATGACTCGCTATTGCTTTCGCGTCATGTGTCCTATCCCCTCCATAGTAAACTAACACAGACACAGTGTCAGGCTTTGAATGAGTCTCAAGCTCGTCCTGGAATAAAGTAAAAATCCATCAGACCTTTGTAAAAAACTATCAAAGATTTAAGAAGACACAACTAACAAGGCAATCACCTTCCATTGGCTTAACAATGCCATGGGACAAATAATAAGAGTGCCTCCTTTTGCCTTCACAATCGTTAGTGCGGTATGACTCTCCTTCCTCTTGCGTTTATCTGCATTAACATCTGCCGCCAAGCCATCTTCATTTCCTGGGTTACCTCGGCCAGGCCGTGCAAGTATTAGTGCAATTGTCATCACAGTTTTTCCAAGTCCCATGGCATCTGCCAATATCTGCAAACAAAAAAGTTCAAATATTTATAAATTCAACAAGCAGAGAATATTTGCCATTCCATGCCACTCAAGAGGAATACATGTGTTAGAATGAAGATTCAAGAAACATACTCCGCCTCTTGCCATCTGTGTTGCTGTTGGAAACTGGATTGTTGCTTCACCACTAAAGATGTTCAAATAAATTGAAGGTGCTCTCCTGAAGAAAATGCATACAAATCAACGTTATAAGGTCAGATAACATATTTTGAAGTTAGTTCTGAACATCTGAGATAGTAGTAGTACATACTCGTCACAGATTCGATAAGCCTCCCAACATGGATGTAGAGTTTCAGCTGCCTTTTCAACATCAATTCCTTTCTCAGATTCTGACATCCAGTAGAGAGCTTGTTTCTGGTACGGTCTCAGGTTACACGTTAGTGTACTTGGAGCTTCCATTTCCTAAACGATTGACAAGAGAAAATGACATTCAAATTAGTTTTCTTTAAAAGAGGACAAGAAAAAATTTCTGGTGAATATTTTCACACCTCGAGGTTATAAGAATCTGCAGCGCCGACAACCCGATTCATATATGAGTCAGGAGCCTCTTCTTCATCTTTGTTCTGCTCCAGAGACTGTTGACAACCTTTTCTTCTTTTTGCTATGGCCAACAATGCTGCTCTTTCATCAAAGTCATCCTGACCAATGAAATGCATAACTTAGTCTTCCACTAAAGGAACAAAGAACTTAAGATTTATAACG